TTATAATTGCAAAAATAATTAGAAATAACCAGCATTTCATAATAGAAGGCTAGAAAAATAAATTATGGAATAACTATTAAAAACTGGAAAACAAAGTACATCTGTATGTGGTAAATTTATATGTACACACAAAAATATATATATACTAAATATAAATATGTACATACACTATATGTATATATATATATATATACATATACTTTTACACACAAGTACATACACATATGTCCTTGTTTATACATTTATAAATATTTGTATGTTTGCGGAATATTTCCTGTGGGATACACAGGAAGTCATTCACAGTGTTTACCTTTGGAAGCAGGGTTTAGAGTAGAGCAGAGGGTAGAGAGTGTGTGTAAAGGTAGAAACAGATGTACTTTTCACTTTATATTTCTCTAGTGTTTGATTATATTTTATACCATTAGCATATGCTATTTCTAAAATGAAAGCAAATCAAAAGGAAATGAAAATAAAACAATTACTAGGAAAATAGAGTAAAAATATTATAAGAGTTTAAATTCTCACTGTCAATCTTTCTGAAAGCAGACATGACCCTGCTGTTGTAAGGAAGTGGGAAATTATTTCAGTAATTTCAGAGGGATCTTACATTTAAAGCAAACAAGAGGGTAAACTCAATCTCCATAGCCGAAAGGGGAATCTGTAAGTTGTTTGCTTAAAAAGAAAAAAAATAAGCAAAATAATCTGCTACTCTACTCCCATCATGCACAGTGTAATTTCCCTTTCAGAGAAAGAGGAGGTTTGAAGAACAGAGTCAAGGCCGCTAGTCCAGGAGCCTGCTATCAGCCATGCATGTGCTTGTTTAGGAAAGAGCTTAGGGATATACAGCTTGCTAAGGCTTTGCCCCTAGTGAGTGAATGTCTCACTTTAACGATTCCCACTATATGTAGCTAATTTCTGTTTTTTAAAAAAGTACAAATTATATTGGAAAAACAGAATATTCAACACATTTCAAAATCTATGAAATATCAGCCATACATATTTGCTTAGCTAATAATATGGGTAAACATGTATGGAGTGTGCAGTCTGTGCCAGGTACCATTCCAAGCTTATTTTCTGTATTAATTCGTTATATCTTTAGACAATTCTCAAAGAGAGGTACTGTTATTACATATCTTGCTTATTCAGATAAGCAAATCTAGGCTAGGAGAAGTTATATAACTTGTTTGCCAATAAATTTTTCTTTACCTACTCTAAAATATAATCCAATTTTACTAGACTGTATTAAAAGTATGTGATACAAAAGTAAAATAACTTCTCAAGATAAAATTACTAAAATGCATTTTTTCTAAGATTGAATATACAATGAAGATCAAACTATACAATAATTCTGACATGCTTGGCCCAATAATTAAAGTTAATGTTTACCTTTTGCCATTATAAGTTATGCACCTGTTTACATATATCAAAGTCTCTCCTATGCAGCTGAAAATATAAAGTAGAATCATTAAAATACTAATATTCTCTTAATTATCTCAACCCTATTTAGCTAACAGTTTTGAATTAACAGTAGTCTAATCTTTAACATAATGTTTTAAAAATGAATTCTACTTTTTAAAAGATATTTTAGCAGATTACATTATAAATGGGAAACCACAGTCTAGTAAAGTGACAACCTTCAACCACAAAGTAACTCATTAGAATTATCCTACCTAGAATCAGAAGTTATTGAATTTTCCCCTTGTGGTCAAACCACAAACCATGAAAAATATGGTGTGTACCATCTGAAATACACTGAACTTCACTGGTACTTTAAATAGTTTTCCTAAACCATTAGCCACACAGAGAGCTAATTAGTTTACTAAATATGCACCAGCCATAATCATATTTACTTAAAAGTTGAAGAGATATATGTTAGGTAAAATTTTATATGCCGTCCTAACTCTCCCCCAAAGCAAAAAATCCATCTAAACCCATGTTTGAAAATTAGTCATTTTCCCCTTTTTGAATATATTTTAGCAATTGGATGTCCTCTACTTTTAGAAACAGCCTCTTCAACTTTGACAGTTTTATTGGTTATAAATGCTAACACAAATCAAATTTGCTTCCCTAATTTTTGATCCATTTGCTCTGATTCTTCGAAATGTATTTTGTATTTTAGACAGCCATCACTTTTCCCTAAATCCTTTCCTGGTTACTTATCTGCAGCTGCCTTAAAGTTTCTTATAGAACTATTTTCTGGCTTCCCATTGGCTGATTAATATTCTCCCTGAAACAGGATTCATGAAAACGGTTAAGGGTCTCAACATAACCTGAACGTCATAGATCATAAAGTAACCACAGCTGTCTCCATACTGTTTTAATGTAACTCGGGCCTGGGTTATTTTTGTAGTTAACTGTAGTTGTTTTACGTTTTTAAGCAATCCAGTTACACATTTGATTACTGAATTTGTGTTAAATTAAAATTTCAAATTGTTTACATTAACCCACATCAGATTATGTCTCTTCCATTCTAGTTTTCAATCTGTCATAGTAAGGTTTCTCTATATTGGTTCTACATGTATTCTCGATGCAGGCAGCTCACTCTTTTAGCTACGTTTTCAGGTCTGTATCAGCTCCTACCTGATAAGACAGTTTCCTGTGTTTTCTTCAAATCACTCATGAAAAAAAAGGAAAAGGTCAAGGACATGGGCAAAGACCTTCAGCACACCACTGGGGATCTCAGTCCAGGCAGATAAATAACAACATGCACAGGACACACATCTTAAACTCCTAAAGAATTTTGTAATAACATAATCTAGCAAAGGCTATGTTAATTTCAGCAAATATTTAAGTTTTATGTTAAATGGTTTAAATTTATTTTTACATTTTTATTTATTTTTAAAATATATTTTTATTAATTTCAGGGAGAGGGAGATAGAAACATCAGTGATGAAAGAGAATCCTTGATTAGGTGCCTTCTACACGTCCCGCATTGGGGATTGAGCACACAACCCAAGAATGTGCCCTGGCCAGGAATTGAACTGTGACCTCCTGGTTCATAGGTCAACGCTCAACCATGGAGCCCCGCTGCCTGGGCTATTCTTACTTTTTTAAATTTGGGGGAAATTTAGAGAACACTACAAACTTTCCATAATTAGAGCTGTTTAAAAAGCTATAAAACAAAAATTCTGCCCTAACCAGTTTGGCTCAGTGCATAGAGCTTCGGCCTGCGGACTGAAAGGTCCCAGGTTCGATTCCGGTCAAGGGCATGTACCTTGGTTGCAGGCACATCCCCAGTAGGGAGTGTGCAGGAGGCAGCTGTTCAATGTTTCTCTCTCATCGATGTTTCTAACTCTCTGTTCCTCTCTGTGAAAAATCAATAAAATATATTTTTTAAAAATCTATGAGATAGGAATTATTATACCCATACGCAGATTTAGAACCAAAACTTAGAATCAATAACTTGATTAAGGTTACCAAGATAGTGGCTGTGCCAGAATTCAAGCCCAGATGCAGGACTCCAATTCAGCACTGACAACTATATCATACCTAGGAAAATATCCCTTCCTTGAGTCTGTCTGTTATTCTCTCATAATAATACCACCTCACTTTCTTTAAATATTGCTGTACAGTGAAAATCCCACATCCCTCTTATTCAACAAGAAAAATGAATATGCAAGTGCCCCAATACATTTGTTTACATAAACTTGTCCTCAGGCATACTCAGAAACTCACATGAAACTATTTCTATCACTTGAAAGATTTAACAATACCATTATGTAGAAAACATTATCAAAGGCAGCATTTCAGTGGTGCCATTAGTGACATTAATCCTGCTGAAGTGGATCCAATTCTCACATTAACTTCTTTATCAAGCAAATCAGCATAAGACAATAGAGACAGAATTTGGGATTTTAGGCAAAAAAAAAAAAAAAAAAAAAAGGAGAGTTCAAATCTCTACCTAACATTAACTAGTGGCTAAGGGCCTCAATCTATACTCTATCCCAAAGTGATCTCTTCCCAAACAATGGCTCCATTTTCCACTTTAAATCAACAATTTGCTAATGTATTTCGATAGCAAGGGCCTCGGTTCTGAGAGTTAGCCCTGTCTAGTCACTTCTCTCAAAGTTCCCACTGAAAATTGCACAGGAACTTCACAGTGAGCATGCCACCCCCCCACCAACCCCCATCACCTTTCTCCCAGTCTCCAGTGATCATTATCTTCGTTCCACCTTCTTCAGGCTTCATAACCAATCACTACCCCCTATATTTCTACTTAAAAAAAAGGAAAAGAAAAAAGCCACCTAAAAGCTGACCAGTTCCCTTAGCTTCTTCTGCTACCTCCCTGGTTCACAGAACGATGCTCTTCTCTCCCCTGGACACACCTATATCTAATGCTATTGGATTTGCCCTCATGTCAACTATTTTTTAAAATATATTTTTATTGTTTTCAGAGAGGAAGGGAGTGGGAGAGAGAGATAGAAACATGAATGATGAGAGAGAATCATTTATTGGCTGCCTCCTGCACACCCCCCTACTTGGGATCGAGCCTGCAACAGGGGCATATGCCCTTGACTGGAATCGAACCAGGGGCCCTTCAGTCCACAGACTGATTGATGCTCTATCCATTGAACAAATCAGCTAGGGCCTTATGTCAACTCTTGTCAACTCTCCCCTGTTCCCAATTCACCACTAACAGGGAAATCTTTCTAAAATGCTAATCTCATCATGTCACTCCCTTGCTTAAAATAACTCTATGACTTCCTCTACAAAACAAGTTCAACTTTCTTCCCATGCCTTACAAGGCAGCCCACATCAAAAGCCTCATTTCCTACTACACCCTTATTTTCAGCCTTACAGGAGTTCTTTTCATTTCCTCAAATTTATATGCTCTCTATTGCTGTATAGTGTATAAGGTTTTTCTTGCATTAATCTCCTGGGAATGCAGTGATGAAATTACTTCCATTTCAATATAAAGACTATCAGATAAAATAGTCTGATTCATTAAAAAGTTGAAAGGGTGTGGGGTGGGAGTGGAAGTGAGGAAATGAGGTACCAACCTGAATGAGCATCCAGCTAAACTGGCAAAGATACAGGTAATGGGCGACAGCAGCCAGGGCCGAACAGCTCTCATCTGTGAGCTGGGGACTTGCATATGCAGATGCCAGAAACACAATCTGTAAGAAACAAATACTTTTATTTTTAAATCAGGCTAAAATCAATCAAGAATATTAAGAAAGTAAACTGTTTTCTTATCTGATTTATGATTCCATGACTCAAAGGGACAATAACTTGATTTGTTGCCCAAACTGAGATGACTAAGAATCTTCTAAAACTGGCAATACATGAATTTTTATATTTCTAAGAAAGAATGGATTCTATGAAATTATGTTACGTGTTGCTTTGGACTGCCAAGAGGAAATTCTCAAAGTAAACCTTGTTCTCATTATTGATGAACGAAAGTCCCATGAAATACATGTGTTTTAGGTAAGTAGAAAAGAGAAAAGAGAGCAGAAATACCATTCCTTGTTTAAGTCAAAGCTAATGGGAAAAAATAGAAAGAAGCAAAAGCTGACTTTACCCCTCACCGGAATCCTTTTGCTGAGAAGAAACATACATAACAAAATGGACAAATTAAAAGTTAAATTTCCAATGCTATGATTACTCTAATCCCAGGGATTTTATTTCAACTGCCCTCAAGCCTTTGTTCAAAAGTGACCTTCGCCATCAGGCCTCTCTTGACCACACTATTTAAAATTACACTGTCTTTCCTTCTAACACATGTGATTCCCCCATCCCTACTTTTATTTTCTTTTTTGAAAACAGAATTTACCACCATCTAAGATGCTCTATAATTTGCTTATTTATCATGTCCAAATGAGTTCCCTGAAAAAATAAAGTCAACAAATTTGCCTTTCCAGATCATACCACAAATAGCTTTTGAATGATTAGAGTTTATTATAAAAACATGCTTAGATTTTCCTCAATTTTAGCTTCTAACCTCTGAGTTGTAACACATGTTAGGTCATCAATTTAACCTTTCTAATTTCCACAAGTGTTCACTGAACACCTTCACTAAAGCAAAGCACCGAGACCATGCCTCAAAAGACCTTCGAAGCACAGGCTGTGAGATCAGCACACCTCCCTTCCCCCAAAGAATAATTGCACTGTTTTATGTTTTCTTTTTGCAAAGTGGTATCTGTTTCCATAAAATCTTTAAAAGTGTACCTACAATAAATTCAGTCTCTCTAATTCAGATTCTAAAATATGGATTGTGTTGAAATTACTTGACATTTTTGTTCTAAATAACCTAAACAGTTTGATACACACACACACACACATCCCATATTCAAAGGCTGTTAAATCGCGTTGTTTACCCATATCTTCAGAAAAAAAATCACTTCTACTATCGTGGTAAACAACCTGCTTCCCTGTTTATAATGGTCTGGCCCTCTAGCAACTTCAACGCAAAATTATAGCTAATTTGCCTACAAACATCAGGTGGTCATAATTATCTGGCGTGTGTGTGTGTGTGTGTGTGTGTGTATGCCTAAGCGACCATTATGACCAAACGACCAGATCGACTTGAATGACCAGTTGACCGGTTGCTATGACGTACACTGACAACCACAGGTCAGACGCTCAACACAGGAGCTGTCCCCCAGTGGTCAGTCCACTCCCACAGTGGGAGCGCCACTCAGCCAGAAGCCGGGCTCACAGCTGATAAGCGTAGCTGCGGCGGCGGCGGGAGACTCTCCTGCCTCAGTGGCAGTGCTCGCAGCAGCGGCGGCAGGTGCAGCGAGGCCAGGATGAGCGGCAGCAAAGCTGCACCTGGCCCCGGCTGGGGCTCCTCCCTGGCTGCCCGCCTCTTCGACACTGCTACATCCCCCCGAAGGGTCCCGGATTGTGAGAGGATGCAGGCCAGGTTGAGGGACCTCACCTGTGCACGAATCCGTGCACCGGGCCTCTAGTTTAAAATAATAATGAAATCCAAGTTGTAATGGGATGTCCCTAGTTTTAAGCACCTTATGAAATTATTTATAAGTGACATACTAATTTAAATAATTATTATTCTTTTCAATACTTTTTATTTGAATCAAATTAGTATAGGTTATTATTTAAAATTGTGTTTTCAGAATACAGTTTTAACACCCCAAATTCCATTCTTAAGGTCTGATTCAATTCTCAGTAGCCCTTAATATATACTCCCCTTGCTCCACCCCACACACTTTACTATGGACAGTCTCACTCCTCTGCTTATGATGTACTCTCCATCTTATCCAAAACCTTCTCTGCTTTTATAGGACCAGTTCATTCCACCTGCCTACTCTAATCACAATAGACTACCAGACTTCCCTATTTTTTAAAAGTGGCATAGCACTTACTATTGAACATTTATAATAAGCCAAATATTGTCCTTTCTAAAAGGAGAGTGCCCAAGGATAAAGCCAGAGACACATATGATGCAATAAAACGTGACAGATATGGATTAAATTATCAGAAAACACAGAGTCGAGATTGATTAATCCTGCTTGTGAAGTCAAAGAAATTTCCAAAGAGGAAACAGAAATGCTTTAACTCCATTGATTGCTATTCCCTAAAACATGTTCCATCATCTCAACTCTGCTTTGTTCTCTTCTTTCTTTTTTTTCTAGCCAAAATTGGTTTCTCATCTTCCTCTGTTGAAATCATGTCCATTTTTCAAGGCATACTTGAAATGTCAACTCTATCATAAATATATGGCCATTTATTTCAACTGTAAACAACCCTTCCCTCCTCCTTATTTTTAAAACAGGATTTTATTAACCTAAGGATTGGTTTTCCTATAAACCTCAATTTCCCCAATTCTTAGATAAAATCAGCCTTAATTTTGTGGAAAACTGTCAACTCCTTAAAGGCAACAATTTGATCTTATTCTCTATTACAACTATTGAGATACATTTAAAAAAAAAGAAGCAAACATTGACTATCTCATATAGACCCTATCATGGATTTGAGCATAAGGTTGTTTAAAACTAGCTTAAAGAACTTATATGCATATATGCATAACCATGGACACAGAAAATAGTTTGGTGAAGGCCTGGGGAAGGGACAGGAGTGGGGTGAGGAGGATAATGGGGAAAAAGAGGGGACATCTGTAATACGTTCAACAATAAAGATACATTTAAAAAACAGCTTTATTGAAGTATGATTAACAGACAGTAAATAGTACATAAAATGTATGATCTAATAAGCTTCGACACATATATACACCTGTGAAACCATCATCACAATCAAGATAATTAACAGGAACATCAACCCTAAATGATCTCTGTAATACCTCCCAGCACCACTGCTTCTCATATCCCCAAGCAACCTGTTTCCTAACACTACACATAAGTTTGCATTTACTAGATTTTTATGTAATTGGAATCAGATGAATTCTTTTTTTCTCTAGTGTATTTCACTTGGCATCATTATTTTGAAAGTCATCGAAAATAATGTGTCACTAGTTCATTCTCTTTTTATTGTTTCGTAGTGTTCCAATTAGGTATCCTTTCACCTGTTGATGGATATTTGGGCTGTTTCCAATTTTTGACTTTTACAAATAAAACTGTCATGAATATACAAGTCTTTGTATGCACATATGCTTTCATTTATACTGAGTAAATATCTAGGAGAGGAATGGCTGGATCATATGGTATGTATTTATTTTTAAAAATGGGTAAATTATTTTCCAAAATAATGTTTACAACATTTTACAGTCTTACCAGTAATGCATGAGTGTCCATTTCCTCCACATTCTCACTAAAACTGTTATGGTTAGTTTTTGTTTTCTTAACAACCAAAAGTTTATTTGGAAAGTTACAGAGGTAGAAGGAGTGAACCATGATGAGTTAGTTCTTAAGATTTTAACCTGCCTAATAGGTACACAGTAGTTCCTTATGGTGGTTTTAATTTACATTTACCTAATCAGTAATGATGTTGACAATTTTTTCATGCTTATTTGCAATCCATATCTCTTCTTTGAAGAAATGCCTTTTTAAATCTTTTGCTCACTTTTAAAATTGGGTTGTTCTACATTTCAATCCAATGATGAGTTTGTTTTACATTCATCATACAAGTCTTTCACCAGATATTTGATTTGTAAACATTTTTTTTCTAGCTGTGGCTTGTTTTCTATTTCTCTTTCTTTTAAAATGTTGTTTTTAATTAATGTACTTTTTGAGAAAGAGAGAGAGAGAGAGAGAGAGAGAGAGAGAGAGAGAGAGAGAGAGAGAGAGAAATGGGGAAATAGAAACATCAATTTGTTGTTCCACTATTATACATTCATTGGTCAATGTTTGTATGTGCCCTGACCAAGGATTGAACCCACAATCTGGTGTACTGGGATGACAATCTAACCAACTGAGCGACCCTGCCAGGGCCTAATTCTCTTAACAGTGTCTTTTGAAGAACACCAGTTTCTTAACATCGATTAAAACCAATTGGGTTGGATTATACTTTTTTGACCTCTTATAGATTATATTTTTGGAATCATATCTAAGACAATTTTGCTTAGCCCAAATTGACATGATTTTCTAGAAGTTTTATAGTTTAAGGTTTAAAAATAAGGTTTGTGATTGACTTTTAGTTATTTTGAATAACTATGATGAAACTATAGTCCAAAGCTATTTGTTTGTTTTGCATGTGACTATCTAATTTTTCTAATATCTTTTCTATTGGAAAGACTACCCTTTCTCTAATGAATTACCTATAATTACATATATTGTATATGCCTTCATCTATGGGGATCAATTTCTGGACTCTCTAATCAGTTTCACTGAATGTGTTTATATCAATACCACATCATCTTGATTATTGTAGCCATAATTCTTGAAAACAGGTAGTGTCAGGCTCAAATTCATAAATTCATTGTTCTTTTTCAAAGTTGATTTGGTTACCTCAAGTCATTGGCATTTTCATATGAATTTTAGAATCAAGCAGCTGATTTCTACACTGAAAAAAAAAAAAAGACTGCTGGGGTTTCTTTTCTGGGACAGTGTTGAATCCTAATCTAAGGAGAATTGACATATTAACTCTTATATCTATCTCATGAATACAGTTTACCTTTCCATTTATTTGGGTTTTTTTTTTCCCCTATTTCTCTTAGGTGTGTTTTGTAGTTGTCCATGTTTAGGTCTTTCAGATATTAAAA